AACTCCCTGGAAACTTTCCCTTTTTCCTCCCAACTCACAAACCCCAGTAGCCCTTTCTCTAAAATGCACATATTCATTCTCTCCCTTATCCTCAGTCTCCTACTGTTATGGATTTAGACATAACTTCTGGTAGTTTAACTCAAAGCCAAAACTTTCTTTGGGGGTATTTTTGTTTCTGTTTTTTAGAGACAGCGTCTTGTACTGTCACCCAGGCTGGAGTGCAGTGGCATGATCATAGCTTCCTGCAGCCTCAAATTTCTGGTCTCAAGTGATCCTCCCTCCTCAGTCTCCCAAGTAGCTAGGACTACAAGTGCCTGCAACAATGCCTGGATCATATATATATTTAATTTATGTATGTGTGTGTATGTGTGTGTGTATATATTTAGTTTGTTTGCTTTTGGTAGAGACAAGGTCTCACTATATTGTCCAGGTTGGTCTTGAACTCCAGGCTCTAAGCAATCCTCCTACCTCAACCTCCTAAAGTGTTAGAATTACAAGAGTGACCCATCACACCCAGCCAAAGGTAAACCTATTAGATATCTACCATTTATTTAAAAGCACTAAATGCCAGGCACTTTGTTGGGGACTTAAAATATGACACTAACTCAGTTAATTCTTTCCCCAACTATGATATCCTGCTTCTAATTTCGCTTCCCACTATTCGTAACAAAGTATCCAATAACTTGAAACCATCTCTGCTCATTTGCATGTCATTATACTCACAACATGATTTTTTTCCACTTTAAATACATCCCCAGCTTCATTATCCTCCCAGACATCAGCCTTTGACACCTTGCTTTACTTACTATGATTTTATTCTTCTTACTTGTAAAAAAAAAAAAAAAACTACTGTGTCTCCTTGGGTGTTTTAGTAAACTTAGCAACAATGGAGACTATCCTAGATACCATGAGTCTGTCATTGTCATTGCTACCAACATCACTGCCAACCTTTTATTAAACATTTACTATCGCTGAAGCATTATATTAAGCCTGTTATATGCATTTTTCCCAGTTTTATTGTGCCTAATTTATACATTAAACTTGATCATAGGTAGATATGTATAGGAAATAACATAGTATACATCGGGCTTGGTGCTGCCTGTGGTTTCAGGTATCCACTGGTCTGAGGTCTGAGAATGAAAGTGCTCCCCAAGGACAGAGAGACCACTGGATTCTGAACAAGAAAACCTGGACGGATTCCTTCCACAGTACAGGGAGGGGGATCTACAACTCCTGGAATTTATTTTTAAAATATTGCATATTTTGAGCCGGGCTTGGTGGCTCAGCCTGTAATCCCGCGCTTTTGGGAGGCTGAGGTGAGTGAATTGCCTGAGCCTGCGGGTTCGAGACCCGCCTGGGCAGCGAGACCTCATCTCTACAATAAATAAAAAAATCAGCTGGTCGTGGTGGCGCCTGCCTGTAATTCCGGCTACTCGGAAGGCTGAGGCGGAAGGATCGCCGGAGCCCAGCAGGCCGAGGCTGCGGTGCCCGGGAGCAGCTACTGTACTCCAGTCTGGGTGACAGAGTGAGACTCCAACTCAAAAAAAAAAAAAAAAAATTGCATATTTATTCTTACATGTTTAAATTTCAGTCACCTTTGAGGTATTCTTCATTTGGTGCAATACACTGCTCAATTTTGATTCCTTAATTCAGTGTTACTGCTGTTTTCAGTTTCACCTCTTCCACATCAGCAAAACATTTCCCTTTGAGGACTTTTTTCATCCACGGAAACCAAAAAAAAGTCACTCAGGGCAAGATCAGGTGACTAGAGAGGATAGGGCTTGGAGGTCACCCTGCTTCTGATCAAAAACTGTTGAACACTCAGCGTGGTATGGGCAAGTGTGCATATAAATCACCCATCATTAAATGGGCAAAAAAGCATCTCCAAAAAAAAAAAATTCACTGAAGCTGAACGCAGCCTCTCACAACAACGCTAGCTGGCACACTGATGCTGATGGGTTCCTAGAACACTTACCTCGTGGGGGAGGACTGTACCCCAAGGGGTCCGCCCTCCAAAAATTAGGGATTTTTTGGGTCTCCTCTCATATCATAACTGCTTATAGTCCCCTTTCTAGAAATTTCTATTTTCAAGGGGCATCTGACCTCTTAATACCAGTCCTGTCTCCAAAGGTAAGGAGAGGTTGGCATAAAAGCACGGTGCACACTAAACATCACAGTCACGCAATACTCACCCTTGGTGCAAGCACACATGCACATAAGTGTGCACAGAGGCACACAACTCTGCTAGCTCCTACACAAAAATTCATGCGAAAAATCCCTGTAAAACACCATTTGGTCCTCACTATCTGAAAGACTATAATCTATGCATTACTCAGGAAAGCTCCTGAGTGGCAATAAATATTCACCTATGAACCCAACTCCATGGGGCATACTCTTGAAGATTAAAAGGGAAAATATGATTTACAGGAACTCTTCTGGAACCTGCTGAGATTTAAATATACCCTAAGTCTCTAAAAGCAAGCCAGAAAAACAGCTTTCAAGTCCAAGACTAAACTCCTCAGACAAGGTTAGGTTAGAGCCCTTAAATGCCTGTGTCTGCATAAAAAATCAGCCTGTCAAAGTATTCACTTTAGGAGAAAAAGCAATGGGATGAGGACTAAGCATATCTTCCCTCCCTAAACCAAACTGATGAAGACACACTGCTCGTCCGCTTCCTCTTCTGCCCAAGGAAGGAGGGCGGGTTTGGAAATGTGTTTATGTCCTGCCTAATTCTACAGTTAGAACTCTACAGTTTAGAGAAGCAGCCCCAGTCCTGAATTCTCCTGCCAGATTCAACTATTAACACTAAACTCAAGAGAAATTTAATAAACAAAGGTGCCTCCTTTGAGAAATAATTAGACTACATAAAACGTGATAAAATATGTTCCTAACTCTCCCAATTCCAGGCACACCTCCTAAGGAAACAATCCACTGCTTATTTCTCACTGTGTGTTCCTTGGAGCCGGCACCAGGTCTCGCATGAGGACACCAGGCCTGGCCGCACCTTCCCTCTGCATGCTGATCTTGCTTTGCAGAGTGGAAAGGCACTTGGGCCTGCCTGTGACTTTTTCTTCCACTCAGAGATGGCCTAGCAGAAGTGCAGAGAATGACTTTTTATGCAGTTTCTATACAAAACTCTGGGGAAAGGCCACACCTTGCTGAACAGAGAGATGCACATCATGCCAGTCTGAGACACCTCAGACGTCAACACACAAGTCACAGTAGGATCAAAGTTGCAACGAAAACACTTAATGTCAATGAATCCTGCCCTCCCTCTCGTTCCTGCCATGCTTTGCCAAGACCTCCAACTCCTCTGTCATTGCTTGTCCCCTGTATCACAATGCTACACCTCTCTGGGTTTCCTTTGGATATGCTTCCCTTGGCAGTCCCTCACCCCCAAGGCCTACCCTGCAACCTATCCATCACCCTCCTTGGAATCTGCTTAAACTACAGACAAACTCTCCACACCCTGACCTCTTCACTGAATGTTCTCTGAGCCTCCCCTTCAACAGCTCTGGCTCTCTGCCAAGGATATCACACTCGAGTGGGTGATGCTCATTCTCTCACTCCCTGGGGAGTTGGGAAACAAGGGTAAATATTTTTCTAAACTCTTCCCTACCAAGAGGACACTACTCTCCTACCATTATTTCAAAAGCTAAGCTCTACTCCAACACCTCTCCTTCCAATGCCCACTTTATTCATTCTTCATCTCTTAGTAAATGACCTTCCCCCTAAATAACAGAAACAAACTCACATGGCCTCTGGACAAGAATCCCTTGGGATTCCTGCCCTCAAGCAGGAATCCCAAAAGTGCCTGCATCTGTACCTTCCTTTCCTTCCTGGCACCAGTCTCAGTGGAGGAGGTGAGCTCCCTCCTATCAAACCTTCAAAGGTTACTCTCTGGGTATGCAAACGCCTTCTTCACACTCTACCACCTCCACAGACTAGGTTTAGTCACTCTCTTTCTAGCATCTGTATGTTCCTCTTCTGGATGTTTCCCACAAGTAAAACTCTCCCAAGTTTCAAATATCTATGCATATATAAGTGAATGTAGTAATAGATGATATATATATATGTAGTTACATATAAAACGTCCCCCTTGCCTTGACCCACGAATGTCCTCTAGTTTGCTAAGTAACATGCATTCTGCCTCTTTTCATGACCAGGACTCTTGAAACACGAGTCAGCTCTTACAATGTCCACTTGTTGATCTTGTGTTCAGTTCTTGACCCACTGACTAAAAACTCAACTGAAATTGCTCTATGCTTACCAAGGGCACCCATGTGGCCAAGTCCCATGAAAACTTCTCTGTCTTACCCACCTTGACCTCACAAGCATGTGACCGCACGCTGTGATGATCATTTTGTTAAAATGTTCTCCCCACTTGGTTTCTTCTTTTTTTATTTTTGATTCAGAGTCCTACTCTGTGGCCCAGGCTGGAGTGCAGTGGCACGCTCACAGCCACTGCAGCCTCGACCTGCTGGGCTCTGGCGATGCTCCCGCCTCAGCCTTTCAAGTAGCTGGAACTACAGATGCACGCCACCATGCCTGGCTAGCCCCTGTAATATTATGCTGAAGAACAAATGCCCGCCATTCATCTAATTTCCTAGTCCAAAACCACAAGTCATTCTCAATTATGGCCTCTTACTCTCAACATGTAATGAGTCACCAATTTCTATGGATTCTCTAACTCTTAAATTCATCCTCTTTTAAATCTGTCCTCAAGTGCATTTGCTTGAGGTGTAAGAATAAACTGAGTTAACCTCCTATTATCTAAGCAAATACTCTATGTAATTCATCTTGTACACAACTGTAAGAATACAAAACTGTACATATGGCACAATTTTAAATATGTGAAATTCTCATAGTCAAATATAGTAGATTTTATTCATAATATTTTCCTGTATTTTGCAAATGTTCCACCAAAATCATGCATTTTTTAACGGGGAAAAAAACACCCTCACTATTCTATAATATGAAGACAAAAAGAAATATCATACCATGCATCAGTAGCATATCTAGAAGACAACATTCCTGTGTGTGCTGAGGCCTTTGAAAAAACTCGGGTCCCAGGGAGTTGATATAAAGGCAAATCTTCTTGTTCCCTTTCTTGGGCCATAGCAGGAAGGTCAATGAGCAAGCTAGGACCTTGGACATCATTCGGAATCATCCCTGCAGAGCAAAGCAGATGCTAGTGATCACAAGAAGCATTCATTCATCCTTTGGTCATTTCAACAAATAGTTACGGGCACCTGATACGGGTAGGTACTCTTCCAGGTAGGAGATTGACAATATTAAAGTAAATAAACAAAAGTTTTAATATGTAATATGATGACAAGCATTATGGCAAAAAATAAAGCAAGGAGGCAATAGAAATCATTCAACAGAAGAGGGTTGCAATTTTAAGTATGGCCTCACTGAAAAAAAAGTTGTTATATTTTTTTACATTTTCAAAGTTTTGTGGGGTTTTTTTGAGTCGGAGTCTCACTCTGTTGCCCAGGCTGGAGTGCAATGAGTGGCATACTCATGGTCACAGCAGCCTTGACCTGCTGGGCTCAGGGTATCCTTCCACCTCAGTCTTCCAAGTAGCTGGAACTATAGACATGCGCTACCATGACTAGCTAATTTTTTGATTTATTGTAGAGATGAGGTCTCGCCAAATTGCCCAGGCTGGTCTCGAACCTGAGGACTCAGGCAATCCTTTCACCTCAGCCTCCCAAATTGCTGGGTATAGAGGCATGAGTCACCACGCCTGGGCTTACATTTTCAAGTTTTTAGTAATATTCATATTATTAAAAATCTCATCTTACTACAAAATTTCTCTTATCGACCTAAGCTGCCCCAATTATAGGCACTCTGACATTTCACTGATTTCAAAAAAATAATTCCACAGATGGATATAGTTGGAGGCCATCATTCTAAGTGGATTGTTACAGAAACAGAAAACTGAATACCACATACCAATACGCTCACGCCCACCCCAGCGACCACCTGCTGGGCTCCGGCGATCCTTCCACCTCAAGCTTCCAAGCAGCCAGAACTACAGGCACGTGCTATCATGTCCGGCTAATTTTTGATTTATGGTAGAAGCAAAGTCTCTCCAGTTTGCCCGGCCTGGTCTCAAACCCGTGGACTCAGGCAATTCACTCGCCTCAGCCTCCCAAAGGGCTGGGATGACAGGCTGAGCTGCCGAGCCTAGCCTAGACTGTGGGTTTTTAATGAATTTTTTCAAATATCTGGCAGAACTTAAGCTAGAAATATAAACAAACAAAAAAGTACTATGTAGCTTCTACGGTTTGTTTTGTTTCCCATCAAATAAGTGTGGGAAGACACAAAACCTGAAGCATTTTCCTGCTGTGACTAATGGGGGAAGAAGTCAAAGCTACAAAAATGCCTTTGAGTGTCTCCAACACGAACCTGGACGTTCCTCATTCACCGCTCACAAACCCACTCAGCAAATAGTTGCAGAGTGCCCGCTACCTGCCAGGAACTCCTCTAGGCACGAGCAACAGCTAAGTGCAGAAAAGCTGACATTCCAGGGAGGAAAGACACAGAGCGACCACACAGCACGATTTCAGGACATGGTAAGTTCCAAGAAGGAAACTAAAGCAACAGGCAGGATTAGAAAGAAATGGTTACTTCGGATGGAGTAGTCGGGGACCCATAAAAATCTGCACAGAAGAGGGAGGTTTGACTTGAAAAAGATGGTATTTTACCAGCGTTTTGATTTGTCACTGCAAAAAGCACTGTTGCTTAGAAATATACAGAAGGATGGGGCCCCGGAGTAGTTCAGTTTCAAAAACAACAACAACTGCCGGGCACAGTGGCTCACGCCCATCATCCCAGCACTTCGGGAGCTGAGATGAGCAGATTGCCTGAGTCCATGGGTTCGCGACCAGTCCAGGCAACCTGGCAAGACCTCATCTCTACAATAAATCAAACATTAGCCAGACGTGGTGGCACATGCCTGTAGTTCCGGCTACTTGGAGGGCTGAGGTGGAAGAATCGCCGCAGCCCAGCAAGTCAAGGATGGGGTGGCCAGGAGCATGCCACTGCACACTGGCCTGGGCAATGGAGTGAGACACCAACTCAAAAAAGAACAACCCTAAAACATCGAGTCCTGGGAGACTTGTTTTTTGTTATCCTCACCACACCAGAAAACTCTGTCATGAAAGAAAGCAAATTATAAGCCACGTCTCTCCCATCTCATCACTAGGCAGTTAGGTTTTGGGACCAAATAGCATGGCTTCCAACTCTTCTTCTTTTTTTATTTTTTACAAAATACTGTATCTTATTTGAGGGAGTCATTTATTCTGGATTATCAGGGTTACTTTGGATTTCGGCTCTGTCATACACATATTGAAAATCTCCCCCGGGCCAGGCTCAGTGGCTCAGCCTGTAATCCCAGCACTTTGGGAGGCCGAGGCAAGTGGACTGCCTGAGCCTGTGGGTTCAAGACCCACCCGGGCAACTTGGTGAGACTTCGTCTCTACAATAAATCAAAAAACTAGCCGGGCGTGGTAGCATGCGCCTGTAGTTCCAGCCACTTGGAAGGCTGAGACAGAAGGATCGCCGGAGCCCAGAAGGTTGAGACTGGGGTGGCCACTGCACCCCATCCTGGGAGACAGAGTGAGAATCTGACTCAAAAAAAAAAAAAGAAAGAAAATCTCCCCCAAATTCCTGGAATGGGTAAATTTACCCAACATGTCATCTGTACCATCATCCCATTTACTAAGGCAGATTGTTCATAGAGTCCTGTGGTCCACAGTTAGATGCCTCCACCCATGCTGGCATAAACCCATTAATCACTCGTAGAGCACACCCCAGTAATCCATTATAAAATTATCAGCCAGTCTTTCACAGATGCTTATTACAACGTGATGAATTGTGCATCAAACGTCTTCCTTAAATCCATGTGCTTACAGTGTATTTGGAAAATTTGGCTTATCAGAAAATCAGAAACAATCTCTCACAAAGCAATACAGATACTCTCTAGAACATTCCCTATCAGCATCACCTAAAGTCTTTCCATTTGTATATTCTGAACAAATTTTCTAGTAAACTCCCCACCACCTCTGTTTTTTAATCTAGTCTAAAAATTTTGGAATTAGGGTCTAATCAGTCGACAATGCAACAGAGATAAGGTGAAAGTAACTGTCCTGTGCAGGAGGGAATTAAAGGGAGTCTCCACCGCTTCACCCCTAGCCCCAGACCCTCTTCACTCCCATCCACTAAGGCCTACATTCCTGAAGACAGAAACAGCACTGACCCATATCCTAGCTCTGCCTTTAAGGTTCTAGAAAAACTGCCACATACCTCATTGCTGAATAACATTACAGTCACCTTTGAAGGACTCCCCTTGGGAAGCCGTGCACCAGCACCAGCGCCTAGATCACCCGTCAAAGCAATTTTGGAACTCTTTCTGGAAGGGCCATCAGTGTTCTCGTCTTAATACCCTTGGTGTCCTCAAATGTCTTCCTTTATTTTTTTAACTTTTAATTTTTTTATATTAAAGATGTGGGGTACAATTCAGGGTTGGGTATAAAAATGTTCATTACGCAGGTTGTTGATGAGATGTGCCCTCCCTTCCGCAGGCAGATTCCCACTGCTGCCAATCCCACTTTCCCTCCCCGCTCCCAGCAGTTTCCCGCCACTGTCAATCCTGTTCTTACAGTATTATAATTGTTCGAGGTTCGCTTTTGAGTGAGAACATGTGATACTCAGTTCTTTGTTTCTGTGAAAGATCACTCAGTATTTTAGACTCTAAGTCCAACCAAGTTGCTGCGGCGTTCATAATTTTGTCCTTCTTTATGGCTGTGCAATAGTCCATCGTGTATACATACCACATTTTTTTAATCCAGTCCTCTTTTGATGGGCAGCACAGTTGGTTCCATGTTCTTGCTACTGTGAACAATGCTACGATAAAACATACGTGCGCAGGGATCTTTTTATAGAGTGATTTGAGTGCTTCTGGGTATATTCTCAGAAATGTCTTCCTTTCAATATTTCCTTTATCTTCAGGTAAAGAAAAAAGTCATTGGGGGAGTCACTGCAACCACTGCTATTTGCACAGGGCTACCAACATAAGCACACGGTGGCAGGTTTTCAAACTAAATTGTCAGACCTCCACAAATAACAAAGACAGCTCTTGTGGCCATTCCAGAAAAGAAGCTCCAAAATTGCTTTGATGGGTGGACTAGGCACTGGCATTGGTGAATAGCTTACCAAGGGGAGGACTTAGAAGGTGACCGTAGTGATATTCAGCAATGAATTACGGGGCACTTTTTCCAGGATGGCTCGCGAATCTCATTGTCAGACCTCCTACATCCGCCTCCTCCCCACTGAGAAAGAGGAGCCAGGGTAGGACCGGGACTCAGGCAGCAACGACCTAAAGCCAGTTTTCCAAACAGGGCATTAGCTCTATCTGCAGAGCTTTTTCCAGCCCTGCTATGCTGGTGAAAGCAGCCTGTAAAATGACACCCCTGGGCTGCAAAGCTAACTGCAGCTTGTTTAAAATGTTTCATTACCTGCTCCACACAAAGGCTGCCAAGCCCTCTGCCCCACTGCCTCCTGCATGGACCCTGTGGGTGTAAGGCACACACTTCTCATCTGTCACAGAGCCTGACACAGTCACACTCTACAGAGCCATCCACCAAGTCTGCACAGCACCCAGGAGCCCATAAAACACACGGAGTCCTCCAGGACCTTGGCAGTCATTAGGTAATGGCCATAACAGGGCACAGAGGTCAGAAAGGCAGCGAAAGCGTCTCGATAACAGGCAGTTAATGCTTACAGAAGAGGGTCGGGGAAATGTTCCGAAGGTTTCCACTTGGTGAGGTGCAAGAACAGGATGACAAAAAATAGAGGTAAGAGGTAAGAAGAATCCAAACAGAGAAGACACGGGGTAATCGCACAACTTAGCAACTAAAAAAAAAAAAGGAGTGCATTGATATGCTGTTGAATAACCACAGGTGAGCAGCATATCGCTTTCTCACACAACAAAGATTTCTTGAGCACCTTCTACGGTAACATGATCACAGGCGATGCTTGCCCTGCCAAAGCTCAGTGGACAGTAAGAGGTGGGCCTGAAAAGGAGTGTGTGCACAGACTCTTGGGGACACACTCCAAGTCTAGGAGACAGAACTACTTTCTGTCTGAAATCCTGTAATATGAAATGGATTACTCACTTGGAATTTATCTTGTACACCTTGCATCAGTAATTATGCCAATTTATAGGCTTAGGTTTTGTTTTTATTTTTTTGAGTCAGCACCTCACTCTGTCACCCAGGCTGGAAGGCAGTGGCACGCTTCCAGCCACCACAGCCTCGACCTGCTGAACTCTGGCGATCCTTCTGCCTCAGCCTTCCAAGTAGCCAGAATTACAGGCGTAAACTAACACACCCAGCTAATTTTTGATTCATTGTAAAGATGAGGTCTCACCAAGTTGCCTGGTCTGGTCTTAAACCCCCGGAGCTCAGGCAATTCTCTTGCCTCAGCTTCCCAAAGTACTGGGATGACAGGTTGAGCCACCCCACCTGGCCCAGTATAAACCTTTTAAAGATACCTAAGTTTGGATTAACCAAAGAATAGGTTAGGCATGGTGGCTCACCACTGTAATCCCAGCACTTTGGGAGGCTGAGGAGGAAGGATCACTTGAGTCCAGGAGTTTGAAACCAGCCTGGGCAACACAGTGAGACCTGGTCTCTACAAAACATCAACAACAACAAAAAAATTACCTGGGCTTGGTGGAGCAAGCCTGTAGTTCTACCTACTCTGGAGGCTGAGGCAGGAGGATCGCTTGAGCCCAGGATGTCAAGGTTGCAGTTAAGCCATGACTGTGCCACTTCCAGCCTGGGCGACAGAGTGAGTCTCTGACTCAAAAATTCTAATTAATCAATCAATTAATTAAATAGAATTAAAGAAAGGTCAAGAAAACTTCTTTACACTTCGGTTCTAAGAAATTATTTTTAAGTTAATGGTTCTATAGATTTACATCTAAGATTGCTTGTTACTCAACTGCCCCTACCCCCAAAACACCCACCTCATATATCAAGTCTACTCCTTTCTTTTTCTTTTTCTTTTTTTTTGAGTTAGAGTCTCACTCTGTCACCCAGGCTGGAGGGCAGTGGCACAATCCCGGCCACCGCAGCCTCAACCTGCTGGGCTCCGGCAGTCCTTCCGCCTCAGCCTTCCAAGTAGCCAGAACTATAGGCATGCGCCACCATGCCTGGCTAATTTTTTGATTTATTGTAGAGATGAGGTCTCGCCAAGTTGCCTGGGCTGGTCTTGAACCCACGGGCTCAGGCAATCCTCTCACTTCCACCTCCCAAAGTGCTGGGACTATAGGTGTGAGCCACCGTCCCGGCCTTAGTCTATTCCTTTCAATCTTGGCAGTACAAAGTGGCAGTTCTCAACTGATACACTCCTCCTCCCCCTGGGGACATCTGGCAATGTCTGCAGACATTTTGGTTTTCGTCATGACCGGGAAAGGGTATACCACTGGCATCTAGGGCTGGAAACCTGCACAAGGCAGCCTACTCCCACCACCAAGAATGATCTGGCCCAAAACAGTGTCAAGATGGCGCCAGTATCAATGGAAATAAAAGATACGGTCTATTCATTTATTCAAACATCTGTGCCATAACTCTTCTCCCACTATTTCGTAATCAGGGAACTATAGACGTGGCATATTTTAAAAAGCAGTATACCCAGAGGGTTTTAGGGAAGGAAAAGTCCCATTTTTCTCCTCCTCATGATCTTGAAAACTTGGATAGACTCACATAATCTCAGATACTCAAAATTAACTATCCATGCTCTGTTTCGACCCACAGGGAACTGTGTGTTTTCATCTGAGAGATGCCTTCCGTCTTTATACCGTTAAGGATTCCATTCTCTGGGTTTTACTTAACAGAACGTCGATCTCATGCACAACTGCTTCATCGCTTTCTGGAACCCTCTCTCTCTCCCCCTCCACATTATCGCCATACAGCATGAGAAATGCCAATAGGGAAAGACCTTTCCTTGAAGTCGCCCTAACAGATGAAGGACAGCATAAATCCTCAGCAAGGGCTCTAGAAATCCCACTGCCGTGAAAGAACTTAACAGTTTCCCTAGAGATATTAATATTGTAATGACATTTGACATGTAAGACAAAGAAACATTCTTTTTCAAAGTCAAGTTTTCAAAAGTACATAAGAATCGATATTGGTGGAGGCAAGGAGAGGCACTATACTTTTAGAATTCTTTAATGGAGACTAAGTTATTAATGTACTAAAATTGACTGTAATATATGGCTATAAAATGTCTCATAAATGTTTAAAATATGCCTGTCTTTATTAATATTTAACAGCCCCATTCAATGAGCTAACAATATCACTTAAGCACATCAGAGATTTTAATATATATTAGTAGAGACTGATTTCAGATTCGGTGTAAGGTACTAGTCTGAGCTTCAGTCCATACTGCTAATAAAAAAGCAAAACGAAGCAGAGAAAATGGAGCCTTCTCAGAAAACAGAATCTGAAAATTTTAAGTTGAAGTATAAGCTATGTTTATTCTTTCAGGTATTCTGAAGCAGATTAATAAGCAGATTTAAATTAAAAACATCCTAATGAATACAAATGTGACCGTGAAATTCGTGATACACAATCATAAAATGGAAAGACCGCAAGATGATGTAATCTGTGTTTATGAGAAACAAAAGCCACAAACCTAAATCCAGACTGCTTTTTGCTAATGAATTAAGATTTTCCAGTTCATCAAATCTGCCTTGTTGACCGTTGCCTTCAGTTGAGGTTATGGATGGCAGCGAACCCATGCCAAAATTCTCTCCCATGCCAAAATTTTCTTTCATCTTGAGAGGAAGAAAAATAGACATGCATTAGTACATTATGAAAAAGTGTGGAACACTATAATGTTGTTCAAACCAGATAATGATAAGCGGAAATCTGGCCCTGTGAACAAGCATTCTCAAGTAATGGGTCATACTGTGGTAAGCAGGAACAAGTGCTGGTGACTTAACACCTGCAAGAGTGCAGACAGTAAAACCTGTTTAATCCACATGCTAGATTTTTAAGGAAAATTTTCATTTATAAACATTATTAAGTCGATTTACACAAACGTTTACCAAGAGGAACAAAAGCTGTATCAAGTCAAGTGAGGTCAATTTTGGATGCACATGACTGCCTGAATCATGGCTCTGATGTCCACAGGAAGTAGCTTCACTGCTGATTCCAAAAGACATAATGAACCTTTGCATAGTCAAGCCTTTGCTAGCGCTCTTATCAGCCTGGTGAACACCGAGTTACTCAAACCTAAAACCTACAGATAAGTGCTGTCGATAACCTATTATACTTCCCTCTTGTCTTCCTTTCACACTTATGTCTTTCATGGTTTATCAAAGTCACAATCCTCCACAACGTTAAAACGTTTGTATCATTAATCCCCCAAATCCATATTTTGAAATAACCCCCAAAGTGAAAGTATTGGGGGGGGTCTTTTGAGAGGTCATGCGAGCAGAGCTCTTGTGAATGATTAGTGCTTTTATTTTTTTTGAAAAAAGGCCCAAGCTGGGCGCAGTGACTCACACCTATAATCCCAGCACTTTGGGAGGCTGAGGGGAGAGGATTACCTGAGCCCACAGTTGAAGACCAGCCCGGGCAACTTGGTGAGACCTCGTCTCTACAATAAATCAAAAAATGAGCCAGGTGTGGCGGTACATGCCTGTAGTTCCAGCTACTTGGAAGGCTGAGGTGGAAGGATCACCTGAGTCCAGCAGGTCGAGGCTGCGGTGGCCAGGAGTGTGCCACTGCCCTCCAGCCTGGGTGAGAGTGAGACTCCTACTCAAAAAAAAAAAAGGCCCAAGGAAGCTCATTCCACCCTTCCACCACGTGAGGACACAGCTAGAGGGTGCCATTTATGAATCCTAAAAAGGGCCCTCACCAGGCACCGAATCTGCCAGCACCTTGATCTTGGACTTCCAAGCCTCCAGAAATGTGAGATAAAATAAATTTCTATTGGCTATGAGCTACTTAGTAGTTTTCATGGAAGCTTTTTCTCAGCCATCTCTTTCCCAGTAAATTAGCGACATAAGCCTCTGATTTAACCATTTAGTGAGCTAGCTACTTATTTTGTGGCATTCATATGCCTATAGACAGACCTTCCTTCTCCGTTAATGCCTTTTGTCAGTTTAATTTGCACTCTCCTTGGCACAAATACCAGAAGGTCCAGCAAAAGTTTTGTTTTTCTCCCAGACATAGACAGATAAGGAAATGTTATTCATATTCAGCCTTAAAAAGGGTGGAAATTCTAACAGATAAAGTACTACAAAATGGATGAATCTTGAAGACATCACCCTAAGTGAAATAAGCCAAACACAAAACAAGTATTGCATGAGTCTACTTCTCTAAGTCGCTTGAGTGTAGCCAAATCCTTAAGAGACAGAAGATGAAGCAGTGGTTGGTTGTCAGGAAATGGGGAAGAGGGGAAAGAGAAGCTACAGGCTGGGTTCGGTGGCTCAGCCTATCATCCCAGCACTTTGGGAGGCTGAGGCGAGTGGATTGCCTGAGCCCGCGGGTTCGAGACCAGCCCGGGCAACTTGACAAGACCTCGTCTCTACAATAAAATTAAAAATAGCTGGGCATGATAGCGTGCACCTGCTGTTCTAGCTACTTGGAAGGCTGAAGCGAAGGGATCGCTAGAGCCCAGCAGGTTGATGCTGGGGTGACCATGCATGTGCCACTGCACTCCAGTCTGGACAAAGGAGTGAGACTCCAACAAAAAAAAAAAAAGAGCAGCTACTGTGTAATGGGCACAGAGTTTCTGAGTCAGGGGATAAAAAGATCTGGAACTAGATGGTGGCAGTGATCATACAATAATGTAAATGTCCTTAGCACCACTGAATTATACACCTAAAAATGGTGAAAATGGTAAATTGTGCATTATGTGGATTTTACCCAAATTAAAAAAAAGAAAGGATCTGTAAACTTTCAGTGTTTTTGCCCTTCAAATAAAATGAAGTATGAGGCCGATAAAGATAAACTTTGAAGTAATGAGGCACTAGTTGCACTACACAGATATAGCTAACATCTGTAGCCCAAAAGAATATTACAACCAAGACAGAAATGATAATGTTCCTCTACCCTTCTGGAGGGCATCCTCTAAAGAGAAAATTAATGGAAATTTTATATATATATATATATATATATATATATATATATTTTTTTTTTTTTTTTTTTTCTAAAGAAAGCAGGATTTATTAAGAGGACGGAAAAGTGCCCAGAGTAGGAGGAGACCTGAGGGGATTGCCCAGAAATTATCTCTTTGTAAGGAATATGAATGTGTTTTTAAACTCCTCTCAGGGCTTGCAGTATTAGATAATATTATTAGAAAAATTATCATGGGGTGGTTGGAGGTGGTGGCTTATGCCTATAATCCCAGCACTTTGGGAGGCCAAGGCGGGTGGATTGCTTAAACTCAGGGGTTCGAAATCTGCCTGGGCAACATAGCGAGACCTCATCTCTACAAGAAATTAGCCAAGTATGGTGGTGTGCGCCTGCAGTACCAGCTACTTGTGAGGCTGAGGCAGAAGGATCACCTAAACCCAGGAGGTTGAGGCTGCAGTGAACTGGAGCATGCCACCATAAGACCCTGACTAAAAACAAACAAACAAACAAATTATCACATCAATAATAAGACAGGCAAGTAATGATCCAAGCTCATCCTGATTATGCGGGTGTAACTGTCATCACTGTGGAGGAGAAGGAGTCAGTGCCCTCAGCAAAACATGTAATTATTTAAATATAAAATACTGTTTAGGCAAGACACACGAGGGCTGAAGCAATCTTAATCAATACCAGCTTGGAAAGCCAGTAGAGGTTACTTCTATAACCTAAAATTACATAATTAAATGTGAGACTAGGTAAAAAAATTAACATCTTATAGGTTTTAATATATGAATATTTAATGAAACTTCTAAAGTAAATACTATAAACAGACATTTGACAATTTCATCTATAACCTTAAAAGTTGACATATTCAAATGAACTGATTGCAGATTGCCTTTTATTTGGATGAATAGAAAATTTTCTTTTTATAGAAGAAAACAATAATAAGTACAGTTGAATTAGTGATAGGAAATAAAAAGGAGGAAGCTAGGAAATTTAACAAAAATTTTATTTATTTATTTATTTATTTTTAGTCATGCTCTCATTCTGTCACCCAGACTGGAGTGCAGTGGCATGACCCCATAATCATGGCTCACAGTAGCTTCAACCTCCTTGCTCAGGTGAGCCTTCTACCTTAGCATGCCGACATGCTGGGACTACAGGCATGCACCACCATGCCCAGCTAATTTTTAAAAATATTTTGTAGACACGAGAGTTCGCTATGTTACCCAGGCTGGTCTTGAACTTCTGGGCTCAAGCAATCCACCTGCCTTGGCCTCCCAAAGTCCTGGGATTATAGGCATGAACCACCACGCTTGGTCAAAATTTAACATAAATTTAATAATTAGGATACATGTCCTTCAAACTGTAATCACAGACTATTGTTTTACACAAGACTTTTAAAGAGCACTTTGACAAACAATAAAGTGGTTACGTTGTGAAGCGCATCAATATAAACTTACAAGGCATTTTTTTAAGAAACTTAATGTCATGCAAAGGATACTTAGATAAGAATAAAATTTTGAGTGACAGTATGGATTCGAAAATGACCGTATCTCAAACAACCTAGTTAGAAATGAAGACGCTATATTTGGAAAGCTGTGCTAAACGATCAAAAAATGATTTGTGATAATGTGGATCCTGACATTAAAAATGCACTGAAAAACTGAAATAAAATTATATCATTAAATGTGAGAAAAGGCAAAAAAAATTTAACATTTTACTGGTCTTAAAATCGAAGACTGGGCCATAGATTTATGAGATTCTAGTGTGGCCATGTGCTCTTTGCGCTATGGCTGCACCATGTTTCCTAAGCTTGGGTCCCCTCCCCTTCCTTGGGGAGGTGAATCTCCTCTCTCTCTCTCTCTGATTTACTTTGTAAATAAACTATATTTTCTAACCTAACTTCTGTGCAATTCTTTGCATCTTTCATGCAGCATCAGATTGCACACCAGACACCCATACCCCCTGGTGGGTCTGACCTAACATTCTGGGGGCCCCCGCTGGGAGTGTGACCTAACACTTTCAGAGGTCCCACCAAGATTTGCCATACCCTCGCTCTCTCTCATTCTCCTCTCCCACCAAGATTTGCTATACCCTGTCTCACTCTTCTCTTTTCCAACCCTAGTCTCTCCATGGAGAGAGATAAGGTGCTTGGCTATCTTTTCTCTGCCACTCTCACTCTTGACCTTATCGTCCACCAGGACCTCTCTCTGTCACCTCAGCCTTGTCCGGTTTGAAACTGCATCTCCACTGGGGCGGAGAGATGTCAAACTCCCATCTCCAGAGTGGAGGTTGCCTGGGATCCCCCCTTTAGCATATCACCCTTTAGCATATGTGAAGAAGCTTGAAAGCAAGCGGCAGGTACATCTACATAGAAACTAAGGAATTCACTGGTGCAACAGAAAAAACTGCCTGGACTCCTGTAGTGGATGACAAGCCCACTGGGGTAACTACAAATACATTTTGCCAGACAGCAAAGTCTCAATATGTCATTACAGCAGCTATAATGGCCTTTATTATAGTAGTACTAATTCTAACAGTCTACGCTTAAACGCAGAGCTTGGTATACAGATACTAAAGATACTTAGTCACTCCATGGTCTCTGTCCTCTCATCCCTCCTCTTACTCTAGACAGCTAGAGACAGCTCTACGACCCCTGTTCAGCAGGAAAGCAGCTACAGAAGACTGACCCTCATCCCTGTTCCCAGGCACAAATAAGAATGTTTTAAAATAACAAGAGGGGGAGATGAAAGGACAGAACATGGATTCAATACACCCAATGAGCAGCCATTTTAACATTGCCTAAATCTGTTTTTCTAGCCGTTCACTTAACTTTTGCTCTAATCACAAGCCAAAGACAGAATCAGTTTCTCAGAGGGAGCTATTGATAGTTGCTTCACAGCCCCTTCCCAACTTGTTACTAATTAGCTTTTCTATTTCAAGTATTTGCCTCTGCCCATAAGACCCAGGTTAACCTAATTGGCCCTTTGTGACCTACCTGACACAGACCCTCACTACCATGGTAGCAATCATGTGACTAATCTACTTATCTGCCTGATGCTCATCACCTGACATCAGTACCTGTGCTTAGCTGTCCCCTCCATGATAGCGTGGAGCAGACCACTATCCAATCACCTTAACAACCTTCCCCATCAATGGGAAGGATTAGAAGGACTCAACCACGAGCAGCCAGTGGCCACTGCTTTATTAGACTCTGGTGGGGCCATGTACTCTTTGAGCTATGGCTGCCGCCATGTTTCCTAAGCTTTGGCCTCTTCCCTCCCTTGGGGAGGTGGATCTCCTCTCTCTCTCTCTCTTATTTACTTTCTGAATAAACTATATTTTCTATCTAAAAAAAAAAAACTTTGAATGGTGCAGTGGCTCATGCCTGCAATCTCAGCACTTTGGGAGGCCGAGGCTAGAGGACTGCCTGAGCCCAGGGGTTCGAGACCAGCCTGGGCAGCTTGGGGAGACCTCGTGTCTACAATAAATCAAAAAATTAGCCAGGCATTGTGGCACAACTCAAAAAAAAAAAAAGAATGTTAGAATGTGTAAACGTATAAAGTAAATATTATAAAACATACATTTGACCATCTCATCTATAGCTTCAAAAGGTTACACATTATAATGGACTGACATTTCAGGTTGCCTTTTATTTGGATAAAAAGAAAAAAATTAAAGCCGAGCTTGGTGGCTCAGCCTGTAATCCTGCGACTTTGGGAGGCTGAGGTGAGTGGATTGCCTGAGACCATGGGTTCAAGACCCGCCTGGGCAGCAAGACCTCATCTCTACAATAAATCAAAAACTCAGCCAGGCATGGTAGCGCGCGCCTGTAATTCCGGCTACTCGGAAGGCTGAGGCGGAAGGATCGCCGGAGCCCAGCAGATCGAAGCTGCGGTGGCCGGTAGCGGCCACTGCAGTCCAGTCTGGGTGACAGAGTGAGACTCAAACTCAAAAAAAAAAAAAAGAAGAAAAAAATTATAGAAAAAACAGCTATAATGAGATTATTCATGAATAATCAGTAATCTAGCATTCTAATTTGTAACTGAACACATACTCTGGGGCTAAGCAGTTACAGACACAGGAGCAAGACTGGCAAAGGCAGAAAGCTCCAGTGTCCACGGCACACACCAGATTCTGTGTGACCTCTTCCCAAATCCAAGCATCATTCACATATTCCAAAAACATCTGCTCTCTGGTACACTGCCCAGAGCCTGTCATTAGGGGGAGTCCTCTAGGGTCCCAGCAATGCAGCGACCACCACACCTTGCCTGGCAGAGAAATCCAAAGCATTTGCAGGAAGGAAAGTGAGAAGTGTCTAAGGGAGGCAAGGGAAGAGATGACCTCTGTCTACAGTGAGGAAATAGACGAAAGAAGTTATGCTTTACCCGTCACAAGAAAGCTGCTGGTCTCAGCAAGGGGAACACTGGACTGCACCTGGACATGCTGCGAAGTCACCTTCTTAAAAAAAATGTCAGCTAGGCTGGGTGGTTCAGCCTGTCATCTCAGCACTTTGGGAGGCCGAGGCAAGTGGATTTCCTGAGCCTGTGGGTTCGAGACCAGCCCAGGCAACTCCGTGAGACCTTGTCTCTACAGTAAATGAAAAAAATGAGCCAGGCATGGTAGCATGTGCCTGTAGTTCTAGCTACTTGGAAGGCTGAGATGGAAGAATCGCCAGAGCCCAGCAGGTTGACGCTGGGGTGGCCGTGAGTATGCCACTGCACTCCAGCCTGGGTGACAGAGTGAGACTCCAATTCGAAAAACAAACAAACAAACAAAAAATGTCCAGATATAGTAAGTCTCTCTTCATTTGCCTGAAAGTTCATTTCAGGGCAGAAGATAAAGAATCAAAAATATTTTCAAAAGTCCCTAATCAGGAATTCTAATTGGTGACTGGTTCACTATAATTTTATAAAAAAAAAAATTCATGGGCTATTTAATAAGAAAGACAAACCTATTATATAAAGCTTTCCTGCCAAGTTATAAATAAATAGTATCTCAAACGTAAAGATAATTTTCTGGAGTTCAGTACTTTCATATCATATATGACAGAAAAAAATGTGAATGACCGAGTGTCAACAACAAAAAGTTTTAAACTAATTTGCCTTAATTTTCCTGACAAATAAACTATGGGATAAATACAGCTGTGATTTTTTATGGGGATTTTTTTTTTTAAATAGCAAATGTTAAAAGAACTCTTCTCTGAAATGGGAAATTGAGAAAAACATCACTAAAGAAGCAAAGCAAGAAAAGCCCACTACCAGCAAGGCTACTGCCACATCTTGACTCCCAAGCGAAGCTGTGTCATTCGGAAAAGAGGAGCTTACATTTACAGCTATCCACTTTATGGTATACCCTGCAAACAGTGATTAATTATGAAAAGACCCAGTGCATTCTGTTTATTTGGTTGGGATTTTCTGAGAGTTACGTGGTTAGGTAAAGACCGGGATAGGCGAAGAAGCGAGAGGGGAAGACATGGAATATCGGTCTAATTCCTTACCATGTTTTCAGAGCAAAGGTCATACTGCTGTGTCTCCTGGGAGTAGACACTCCTCATGGGTCTTCCTTCTTGAGGCTCAGCTGGTTCACCAGCATGCACCCACTGTGTACCAAAGTGAAGGTCCTTCACGGAGGGCACAAGAGCGGCCTCTGGAATGTGTGCCGAGGGATGGGACTCCATGGACTGAAAGTGATCTTGATACAGATCGTATTCTTCATCAACAAGCATTTCCCTTTCTTCACCCACTTCCTGCAATCTGGGAGTCAGGAATTCATGCATCTCCCAGGCCTCCTTGCTGTTGTCTATCTCTTTTTGTTGGGAATGGAAAGACCTTCCCAAATCTAGGAATGGTTCGTCCACAAGTTCTTCTTTAAAATATGGTTCATCTCTAAATCCCTGTAAATAAAAGTTGCGAAATATGTTAGACTACACCTGTCTTGAAGCTGGACTGCACACATAAACTGGAAAATCAAAACGCCAACACACAGCTCAAGTGCACGGCTCTCCATGGCACACAAGGGCAAATACAAGCTAACTTCCACATGGTCCTCAACCCAGGAAATGGACAAACAGTGGAGTAAGAGTCAGAAATCTGCCCTTGGCAAGGTGAATGATTATTCTAAAAGGTTCATTATATATTAACCACCTGAAAATTCTCCATTGGAAACAGGAATTTTGTTACACTAGTACACTAAATATTTAACCCATGCACCTAATATATAATAGAAGTACATAAATATAGATACACTTCATACTATTACTTAAAAAAGAAAGACTTAAAAGATTAGGGTTTTCAAGCTTAAGTAACTCAAAAGAAATTACAGCTCTTCGAATATTCAGAAAACATTCTTTAAAAACTAAAGACAAGGGATGTATGTCTCAACTACTTTGAGTATGACTATTTAATAATATATGAAGTAACAAATATTTTTTCATCTATGTTGAAAATGCATAATAAAAAGGAATGAATGCAGTATACTTTTAAATTAATGTCTACCTCACTAATGAGAACAATTAGTACATACCATTGACACTAATTGTTCAGAAACTTTGTTGAACTCCTGACCAATACCTGATGAATATGCAGATCTGTTGAGACTTCAGCCTTACTCTGGGGAATGTCTGGGTAATGAGAACATTGAAGACCAACTCTGCGAGATCAGTGATATTTATTTTAAGTTTTACTCATTTTACCAAGCATAAATTCCTGGAATGAGTCTACATTTCTTTCTTTCTTTTTCTTTCTTTTTTTTGAGTCAGAGTCTCACTCTGTCACTCAGGCTGGAGTGCAGTGGCTCACTAACGTCCAATGCAGCCTTAACCTACTGGGCTCAGGCGGTCCTTCCAACTCAGCCTTCCAAGTAGCTGGAATTACAGGCATGCACCACCACGCCTGGCTAATTTTTTAATTTATTGTAGAGATGAAGTCTGACCAAGTTGCTCAGGCCAGTCTTGAACCCGTGAGCTCAGGCACTCCGCTCGCCTCTGCCTCCCAAGATGCTGGGATTACAGGCATGAGCTGCTGCTCATTTTCTACTTTTCTATTGCTTCCTCCTTGCAGCTAAACATCATTGTGGTAAAGCTTTCAAATTAATATAGTACACCAGATACTGCAACCTGGTTACTATTTCCAAGTAAAAACAAAACAAACAAAAAGTGTGGTTAGAGGATATACTTGAACACGTCCGATGATTACAAAATTTTGTTTGTTTGTTTTTGAGTTGGAGTGTCACTCTGTCGCCCAGGCTGGAGTGCAGTGGCCGCTCCTGGCCACCACAGCCTCGACCTG